AACTTTAAGAGATTAAATGATAGAAAAATAACCTATCTTTGTGTATCCCCATATAAGGCCAGCAAAGTTTCAATGAAAATATGATTTATATTCATGGATAGATCGGACAGTGATATTTTCCATAAGGTATCTTTTAATAAGTCTTCAAGTAAATCACAAGTGAGGAAAAATGATGGAATAACAGGACTTTTTTGGGAATGGGGTTGACAGGGAGTGCATGAATTATATGATGATATGCAGTGCTTTCCCTATTAATAATGTGTTACAACTTCAGGTCTAAAATGTGTTCTGTGACTACGTAATGAACATGACATAAACGTAGAGAATTTGTGTTTATGCTGTACTGCAGACAAATGTATTAAGCAACATAAAATCATGAATAAAATTATATGCACCACTTCAAATAAAAAGGCTGAATAACATGAAAAATATATTGACCACTTTGCAAAGCATATGGCAATTACAAAAATGTGAACTTCAAGAGAATGGTCAGTGTTTATTACAAATCACAACAATGCAGCTGGAAAAGCTGTCTCTGAATTCAGTGCTACCAAAGAATCCAGCAGTTGTGCTGTACTTAAAACTAGCATGCTCACTTCTAGTCTCGAGAAATGTTTTGGAGTGATACAACAAAATATGTATCAACTATTTTTCAAAGGCTGGCAGGTATGTGAGTATATCCCCACAACCCCTGCTACAGTATTGGCTTGTATAAAAACAAAACAATCTCACCTGTTGGTATTGGAGCCGGTTCATTACCAGAGAACGAGATGGGAGCATTCTTGGAGTACTGCCCTTGGAATGACATCACACACTGATATGAGCAGAAGTTACGAATTGTTGCATCAGACATCGTGAGATGGTACTGTGCCTGGGCCACTGAATTACACAAGTCACATTTGATTCTGAAACAAAGACACAAAACTTACCTGCAACATAAATGTACTTACAATATTTTTATATGCAACCAAATTAAAAAATTTAGTCTTGGTTTAGGTAACATCATATTACATTATACTGTAAGAACAATAAATCATCTCAGTTCAAGCTGATTTACTTACCGTTTTGAGGAAACAGCATTGACTGAAACCTGATATAATGTCAAGCAGTTCAATGAACACATCATCAATACCTGGCCATTTGCTGTCACCCTCTTTATCATGTCAAAGTTGTACTTTTTCACCTAAACAGAAAGTACACTACTGTTACTACATAAACATACATGTGCACACACATTTAAAACTTAAGCTAAAAACAGACAGTTTCAGCAACTCTGATGATTACATGGTCTAGAGTTGCTGAAACTCAATTTAAACTGTCCAGATATAAATATTATCTTTTCTATTTTTCATCTTACAAATGGAATTCTAGACAACTTCCCATCATCACAATTCATTAATCAAAGATCACTTTGAATATGGCCATGCCATCTACTTCTATCTTCCAAAATGCCACTTTTGAGTTGATAGTAATTTTTGTGACTTAAATACAATTTTCAGTACCTATAAAACAAAATGTTCACACAACTTTTGCATCTTAGAAAGTCTTTGTTTTCTTGCTGTAAATTAGCCTATTAATTTTCTGTTTACAAACTGAAAGTAGCCCTCACCTTGCACCAATTGCAGGGAACAATCTTCCTGTTTGCCAGTATGTACACATTCATGCACGTCTTGCAACAGAAACTGTGTGGGGCATCATCATAATACACAGAATAAATCTCAGTTTTGGATTTGTCAAAATACTTCTTGCACATGTCGCAATGATCTGAAAACAACAATGCAGATGCACACAACAAAACCCTTTATCAAGTGGAACCCAAAACCCAATTACATTAAAAATTCAATTCTAGAGTGGTTATTTGAAATGGGCAACATAAATGTAGATAAAATATGAAGAATAAACGTTCTGGAAGGATATAATTTTAGCTTATTTTCCTTCTAATGCTTAAATTTATATGGAGATGGTGCAAATCTCAAGCGTCGTGCAAACACATCATGTAGCTCTTCCCACAACTATCTCAAATTTGATCCTAAAACCAAATACAACTTCAAAATTAAGAAAATGTATTGCTATGATATTTGTATCTAGTATATAGCACTATGTAAGGAGGCATACACTGTACTTACCAGCATTGACTTTGTTAACAAATTTGAAAGCTGCAAAGCATGGCTCACTGCAGAGCTTGTGCAATTTGTTGTCCAAGATAACTTCTACTTTCACAACCTTCTCGTTGTTACACACTGCACACTGATGCATCACTACTGGTGGGGGTTGGTTATTGCTCATCTGGTCATACTTTTCCATGCATGCTTGTGTACAGAAATCCTGAAGACAAAAACATATTTTCGCCCGAACACCTCCACTAATCTTCATATCACTAGCTATCAGTCAGCAGAATCATGAGGTTAGAGAAGTAGAATGTGAGGATGGAGAAGCATGGAACTTGCTCAGGATTGTGTTCAGGGGCAGGGTATTTTTTTTTTGCCAAGTACTTTCCAAATAACCAGATTATATATCACACTTATGTGTGTTTAAAGTGACAGCTTCTAGTGCACATTATTTTCTAGTCAAATACAATATTCAATTAACATAATCCTCTGGGGCTATCCGTGATGTCAAATGAAGATGGGAACAGAGATGATCCCTGAAACACTGGCAAGTTTTTACCATTTGACACAGCTGATAGCCCAATAGGATTTTATTGATTTCATTTGCCATAAAAGTTTTGTACCATACAATATTCAGTTAGTTACAGACAAAAAGAGGAACAGCATTTGATCATGTAAATAAATTATGTCTGTGCCAATCTCAAGAATGATGTGACGCTGAAAACTAACACATACCTTAAATTGGCCCTTGTCACCAACAGGTGCAAGAAAGCCCTCTACTCCACTGGAGATGTCCTTTTGGCAGTAGCTGCATACTTTTAGGCCCTTCTTGAACTCCTCCAGACAAGTGCTGCAGCAGAATTGCTTGATGTCATACCCAAAACGAACACAGTACTTCCCTAGGCTCACTGGCTGAACAGATCCTTTACAATTGGCACAATGTGAGCCCAATGCTGTCTGGTACTTGCCTGTCCAACAAACAACATTGTTCCTCCTGAACCTTAGCTTCAGATAATTAATCATAAATGATAGATAACATAGTCAACCCTGAGCCTATGCATGAAGGGCAGGTACAAGCGCGCGCACACACAAAAGCATAATTTTCTTGTAGAACAAAATTTCTGAAAACTTATGAGCTATAACCAGATTGAGTGTCAATGGCTGTCTTCTCAGTTGTGATGCTAGATGGGTGGATACCAAAATTTGGAGAAACCTACTGACTCCATCTTCAGGGCTGAAGTCACTTCTGGGAATAATGTAGAACATATTTCTAGCACGTGACAAAACTTAAAAAGAAACAATATTACTCAATTCTGTCATATGCAGATGACAATGTGCCAGCATGAAGGGTTTACTTGCCCTGGTAAGCAGGTCCAGCTATTTTCCAGCCCTGGTCTAAAAAATAAATCATAAGCATGAACTATACCATTTCCTGGTAAAGATGAAAAGTGTGCTGTGTGTACATCTCCCCACCCTCCATCACAAACATCTTCAAAGGATGGAACACTTATCACTAACTCCATTTAATTAGTAGTTTTGCACACTGCAGTCCCCCCTTAACAAAGCACTCAACAAACAGAACGAAGGTAATTGATAAAACAGAAGACTTCAAAAGGGTCCACTGAATGAATTATTAACAATTTGGACTTACTAAATCAATAAAGAAGATATCACATGAAATGTGTGTGAAAATAAAGTTTGAGTGATATATTTTATTATTCATTGTTAATGGTTCAATAAAGTGTAACAATTAATAATTAATCATGCTAACTTACCAAATCAATAAAAGTACATAATAAGAAGTTATAAGTTAGTGTCTTTCGAAGACCTTAAATGGATCAATTATTTAACCCTTCTTTTTGAGGCCACAATGTAACAATCTGTCTTGGCATATTGTATCCTCACAGACTACAACACAAATATTTACTACTCAGAATTAAAAAAACTCCCTCTTTTTCACATTTAACTCAAGATAAAAGGCAAAACAGTCATTTTCTGTCATCTTTCGGTCACAGTTTGCAGCAGAAATGTAACTGGTTTTTTTCTTCAAAAAGTACAAATGTGAATTCATTATGGCCTCTAGGGGCATCTGGCACGATCTTCATACCAAGATTTATGAAAATCCGTCACTTGTTAATATGCTATTAGGGGACTATCACAGATGCATCTGCTAACGGGCCTATTGTCCAGCTCCCAAAAGACACATGAATGAACACATAGCAGCAGTGGAATAATACTGACAGCATAGCTATGAGAAACTGTCTGTTCCAGCTATGGCACGGTCTACACCATAAGCCTGTATTTCTTTTTAAAAAATAAAGAAACTAGCTACAAATGTGAGTCACAACCATGACAAGCTTCACAAATCAATAAAGAACTTAACTTGGAAAGTGCTTCTGAACTGATCAATTTCTATTTCATATTCAGACAATTCTAGGTTACAAAGTTAACAAACTAATAAATATTTTATCTTCAACAGTTTCAACAACGGTGCACGAGTTTTAAATACATTTCCATAAACTATACTTCTCTGGAGAAATGTAAAACCAAACACTCTATACAGGTTAGCACAGCAGGAACTTAATTTGGTTTATATTTATTTTATGGTTTTTATTAGTCCCTCTATGAAAATGATGGAACACATACTTGAAATAAGCCAACACCATTTCCTACCCATTCCTCTCCATTTTACTGTTGGTACAGTGTTGAAATATGTACAATAAATTAACTTGCTGGTAACAGAAAATGAAGGTTACTTTTTAAAACCCTAAGCTACAGTAGAACAAACCCTGACTCAGTTCGACATATTTCTGCAAGTTCTATTTTAATATTATGCTGCCAAATTTCTCAACCTTCAAGTCACTGCCTGTAACACATTTTTCCACCAAATATCTTCCTTCCATCTAAGCCCAATGTAAAGCCCAAAATAAAAATGATTGAAATGCTAATAATAGTAATAAGTTTACTTCTACATTAAAAGTATTTCAATGCACATGCTTTCTTCTATTTCTAGTCCATCTGTGTATGCAAATGCACAGGATGTGTTTTGCTTCATACCAGAAAGTCCTTGTATTCATTGGTAGGTTAATTGCTTTAAAAATGGAATGAATGTGACTGAAAATTATATTTATTATGAATATATTTTCACTTCATTCAAAAAAATTCTGTAATGAGAGACCACAGAGACAGATGAACTGAACATGCCACAGGAACTGAATTTCTCTCTTCAGCATGTCCTGTTAATATTATATTACAGCATAAAAATTATCAATTAAGGTAATGTAATATTTACTGTTGTTAAAGGTGGGAACAATGTCTCTATGAAACTGTAGTTACTAATGGGTCCCAGGTGACACATGAATGAATACAGAGCAGCAGTGGAACGATCCTGAAGGGAAATATGTCATTCAACTGAGTCAGGGATTATTTGACTGCAGGCTTTGGTTTTAAAATTGAATCTTCATTCAGAGAAACAACTGTCCCAGTGCCACTTTGTCCACCACAAATTTCACATGGACTGTCCAGGGTATGAACCCAGGCCTCTATCATAAGACGTCAGTGACTATGGCCTGAATTAATAAATTAATTTGGGCATTTTTATATTTTAGGCTTCATAGTCTACTATTTAGAGAAATAAAATATTACATACCTAAGCACTCTTCACTGCAGAAGTCCATTGTTTCCCATGAAAGATTTTTCTCATCCCCTGTTATCACACTACTGCACTGTGAACACTTCCTTATGAATGACCTGTCTGGGTCAAAGCTCCCTGGTTTGCCTTTGTCATTAATCATCATCAAACCCAGTCTTGATTTGAGACCACCATGTTTACGGAATGCATTGTAACATTCTTCCTGACAGAGGTATCTACCTTTGCCACCAACATACACTTGAAATCTGCAGGTACGGAGCTATAAATATAACGCACAGGTCACTAACACTGCCACAAATACAAGATATTTGAAATTTTAATACAGCCTGGGACACTTTAAACTTTGTCTACTATGAATCCAGCCAACACTTGTATTTAAGCCTTGGAGTTTACCAGAACATTTACAATATTATAATATAATACTTTCATTTGAGTATGTTTAAATTAAACAAATTTGTCAACCCACTAGATCATGGAGAAACTTTGAACATACCGGTTCAAAAAAGTGTCCTACCTGTGTCCAAAATTGTAGGCAGGTACTGGATTACAAATTCTAATATAGGTATTATAACTAGTACAGAGTGATCAAAAGGTCATACAACCCATTCCTGGCATGTCTTTTGTGTCTAATATAGGTATTATAACTAGTACAGGGTGATCAAAAGGTCATACAACCCATTCTTGGCATGTCTTTTGTGAAAAAAATTAATTACACTGAAATCAGGAAAAACGTTATAATAAGTGTTAGAAATTACCACCTCATTCAATAATGCATGTTTGATGCAAGATGGTGAAGAGTTTCTGCAATGACCAGAAATGGTTCATCAAAGATACTGTGGATTCGTTTGGTACAGCAGAATCAGGATATACATCCATAAACTTACCCTGGCAAGATAAATAAGAATAAGATGCCAGGTAGTGTTTGACAATAAACACTTGTTGCACTTGTGAGAAAAATACCCCTGTATTTCAACTGTTTGAAGATAACTAATGGACTGCTGCGAGCAGGTTACAACATGATGTGGGCTTTTGTATAGTCACAGTGACATTACGTGTATATTAATCAAACTGAAAAGTATTGAACTCCAAACATCAATAAATTTTGTGTGATTTTTCAGTTGACCTGTAGTTGGGTATTATAAAAGAAACTGTGAATAACCAGATCTCACGTAATGGCCAGATAGCAATAGCGTAGACTGTGTAAATAGACGAATCTCTAATAATAGATGGGAATCAGCATAGATAAAACTATTGACAGTGAACTGGGCATTAAACAGCATCTGGGCACTAGCACAGAAAGTTGGATATTACCATAAAAACTACAAACAATAGATGAGATTCATCATGCAAGGCAGCCATGTATGATCACTGACAACACAGCAGTATTGGTGATGATATAATCAGTCTTCCAATGGAGGTGATATAAAAGAATTCATTTGATCGCTGATATATTGCAGCACAAATAGTCCATATGAACAATGATAAATGGCATTTAGCAGATCATCTGCCCACCTCATGAATTTGAGCATCTATCACAGTGATACTATGGACTGTAGAAAATTAAGAAGAGCCAGTTTGGACTAGCCCCTAATGGCATATATAACCTAAATACAGAATTTCGTGAAAGTTCAATCAACCATTCTCAAGTTACTACAAAGCAGAAAGTTCTTCATTTGTGACAAAGAGTAACAAACACCTGAAAATGTATTATGATGAAAGGATATTACTTACTCGACAGCACTGGAAGCACATCTGAGTACTTGCATCAACTTCAATAACATCATCGGGTAGTCCATCTCCAAACCCTTCATTAGAATTGGAATCTTCTTCTGCTAATTCCTTTAAAAAAAGTATAAATGATTTAAACAATTTTAACAAAAAGGCTACATATTTTCATTATACACCTTCTCATCTCACCTTGATTTGGGTTTCAGCCCTCTTGGCTGCCTGTCGTTGTGGTCTTGAGTGTCTGTACTCTACCACAGGCTCAACTGGAGCTATGTATGAAGACTCAGATCTTTTCTCTGCATTGCTGCTCTTTCTTGTAGGCTTAGGTTTCTCTGCAACTTCTGTAACAGCTGACTTTTCACTAATTGTATGACTGTTTTCTTGTGAATCCTTCTCATCTGATTTATCACCATCCTTCCCCCCCACTTTTAACACAGTATCAGGTATTATACACAGTTCTTCCTCATCTTTATCTTTGCCACACACTTCATTCAAGGCTTTACTGTCTCCTTCAGTAGTGTCTGTATCATCTTTATCAGGTAAGGCAGTTTCAAGATTTTCTTTCACTTCATCTGCAGTTTCACCAGAGCCACTTTCTTCAGCTTCACCAACAACCTTTTCCTTTTCAAATGGTGCTTCTTCAACTTTGCTTTCAACATTGTCATCAATGCTCTCTTTACCTTCGGGTTTATCTGATCCTTCTGCATGTTCACTATCTTTCTCCTTTGCAACACTTTCATTTCCTTCACTTTGGTTTGTAGTACTGTCTTCTGATTCAGCCTGCTTTGTACTCTCATCTGTTTCCACCATCTGTTTTGAATTATCTCCTGTTTCATCATTTTTCATCCTGTCTTCCATTTCATCCTCAGGTTTTCCACTCTCATCCAAAGACTCATTAACATCCATCTGTTCATTAACCTCCAAATCATTCATAAGACCAATCGGATCTTGATCACTGGGGCTGGCAACCTCCATGGACTCATCACCGCCACCATGTATATCTACATTGGCCATACTAACATCCATTGTTTCACCCCCATCCTTCTCAGTGTTCTCCATTTGCATGTCCTGATCCTCCCCATCCATCGACTGTTCACACTCTGCCTCTTCACTAACATTCATGCTGGACTCTTCCTCTGCCATTGGATTAGCATTTGATTCACTTGGATTCATACACACTTCATCATCTTGACTTAAATGTTCTTCTAAGTCACCCTCTGTGACCTTGTCTGGCATTTCAGAGATAGATACTTCCTTGTCCTTACCATCCAAATTCATTTTCTCATCTTCCTTACAGGCTTCCTGCTCAGCATTAGTAGTAATGCTACCTGTCTCCTCTACATCCATGTTTGTTGCTTCATTCAAGCTGACATGCTCATCTTGCAAGTCTTGATCTGCAATAATATCTGCTGCTTGAGATTCTTGGTCATCATTACTGATACTAAAGTTCTCCACATCCTGCAATTCTTCCACTGTATTTGATGGCTCATCATTCTTTTCATCCTGGCTGTCACCAGATTTTCTCACATCTGAATCTCGATCTCCCTTCTCTGTATCTTCTAAAGATTTGTTTTCAGTCAGATCTGTGTTCTCTTCATTCAAAATACCCTTTTCCACTGCCACATCCAAAATTGCAGTTTCAGGCTTAGGTTTCTCTGCAACTTCTGTAACAGCTGACTTTTCACTAATTGTATGACTGTTTTCTTGTGAATCCTTCTCATCTGATTTATCACCATCCTTCCCCCCCACTTTTAACACAGTATCAGGTATTATACACAGTTCTTCCTCATCTTTATCTTTGCCACACACTTCATTCAAGGCTTTACTGTCTCCTTCAGTAGTGTCTGTATCATCTTTATCAGGTAAGGCAGTTTCAAGATTTTCTTTCACTTCATCTGCAGTTTCACCAGAGCCACTTTCTTCAGCTTCACCAACAACCTTTTCCTTTTCAAATGGTGCTTCTTCAACTTTGCTTTCAACATTGTCATCAATGCTCTCTTTACCTTCGGGTTTATCTGATCCTTCTGCATGTTCACTATCTTTCTCCTTTGCAACACTTTCATTTCCTTCACTTTGGTTTGTAGTACTGTCTTCTGATTCAGCCTGCTTTGTACTCTCATCTGTTTCCACCATCTGTTTTGAATTATCTCCTGTTTCATCATTTTTCATCCTGTCTTCCATTTCATCCTCAGGTTTTCCACTCTCATCCAAAGACTCATTAACATCCATCTGTTCATTAACCTCCAAATCATTCATAAGACCAATCGGATCTTGATCACTGGGGCTGGCAACCTCCATGGACTCATCACCGCCACCATGTATATCTACATTGGCCATACTAACATCCATTGTTTCACCCCCATCCTTCTCAGTGTTCTCCATTTGCATGTCCTGATCCTCCCCATCCATCGACTGTTCACACTCTGCCTCTTCACTAACATTCATGCTGGACTCTTCCTCTGCCATTGGATTAGCATTTGATTCACTTGGATTCATACACACTTCATCATCTTGACTTAAATGTTCTTCTAAGTCACCCTCTGTGACCTTGTCTGGCATTTCAGAGATAGATACTTCCTTGTCCTTACCATCCAAATTCATTTTCTCATCTTCCTTACAGGCTTCCTGCTCAGCATTAGTAGTAATGCTACCTGTCTCCTCTACATCCATGTTTGTTGCTTCATTCAAGCTGACATGCTCATCTTGCAAGTCTTGATCTGCAATAATATCTGCTGCTTGAGATTCTTGGTCATCATTACTGATACTAAAGTTCTCCACATCCTGCAATTCTTCCACTGTATTTGATGGCTCATCATTCTTTTCATCCTGGCTGTCACCAGATTTTCTCACATCTGAATCTCGATCTCCCTTCTCTGTATCTTCTAAAGATTTGTTTTCAGTCAGATCTGTGTTCTCTTCATTCAAAATACCCTTTTCCACTGCCACATCCAAAATTGCAGTTTCTTTTTCCCCATCTCTTTTGCTCTCTGCCTCTACAGCTGATGCCCCATCACCAATTGAGTTATTAGCTTCGTAACCAACCTCCCCAGACGTTTCCTTTGAGTTCTCCTTCAGTGTATTCTGATCAAGGATTTCATTACAGAAGTTATCACCTTGTCCAAGGCCCTCTTTTTTTGAAGCATTTGCATTATCTTCCTGTGCCAGTGCTTTTATCTCTGACATTATGTCAGAGCTCTGAGAATTCTGATTTTCACACAAACTTTCCATTGTCTATGATTATGATTATAGTAATTACAGTTTGTAGATGCAGCATTCGTATCCCATCAGCAAGCTAGAAACAAAGATGACAAACTGTAAAAAACTTATATTTCACAGACTGATAACTGCAGGGTTAATGTTATGATTCAACAACAAATTTGTTCATTAGGTGTATCATCTATGGGTTAACCATTCCTGTTATAAATGTTGAAATTACATAAATCCTACTTTTAATTACAATCATAGAATTGAAACAGATTTCAGATTGGACATCACCATGCAAAAAAGGAATAACTTTAAGAATTTGATGACCACGACAGGATCTTTCCCCAGTTACAATCTGTGACCCACGTATGAGTTGCTCCACTGTATGTACAGTTATGGAATGACCTACCCAGCAAGTACATGAACATGTTAAAATATAAATATACTGTTTATACTATGATACTTTATGCACATAATGTTCAACATCACAATGGGAACTTAATGAAATCCAAACAGTACTCCTGGTTGGTCATATGGGTTCTAATGCCATGTGGACTTGCAGGTAGATGCCAACACTTCTGAGAAATATCAGTACCTATCTAAAAGACTGCACAGTGTTACAACTGAGAAAACCTTGACCACCATGAATATCTCAATTTCACACAATACTCCTGCTGTGTGGTATATACAACTCAGCTACTTAAAGAAATTGTAGAATGGACTATGATTCTCCAGTCTGGCACCCAAACCTTGGTTAGTTGAAGAAATGAGGCCAAATTTTTTAATTCATTAGACCAGTGGTCCCCAACCTTTTTGTGCCTACAGGCACATTTGAGAATTTATGAGATCGTGGCGGGCACCAACCAATTAACAAAGCCAAATTTTCTTTTCTCTGGACAAATAAGATATGGACACCAAATAATACACAAAACAACACAATGTTTAATAATACAAGAAACCATGTAATCAAAAATACGTACTTTTATAAGTACAATTATTATTACTCAAGTGGGAAGTTAGTGTGATGTTTGACACTGCATTTAATCGGCCAGTTTTTCAAATTTGGGAGTGTAGGATGATGTTGCTGCTCGCAAACAATCGTCAAGATGGGCATTAGTAAGTAGAGATTTGTGCTTTGATTTTATAATGTTCATGGTTGAACGGCCTTCATTATTCAGTATAACCTCTTTCCATATCAACGTGGGCACCCAAAAAAAGCTTTGGCGGGCGCCCACGGGCACAGCGTTGCGGACCACTGCATTAGACAATATGTTGTTATTGAATGCAGACAAAATGTTTATAAAGGCTGTGTGCAACATCAACCAAGCACATGGTGCAAGACGTTTCTTATAGAAAAGTAGACAGAACAAAAGTGGGAAATGAGAAATGCATAATTTTCACTGGAAAACCTAAAGGGAAGAGATAACTTGCAAGAACTACTGTGTAAACACAAACATTCCAACTGATGTACCACTCTTAAAACATTTCATGTGGAAAAGATCACTACAAACTACTTTCTTGTTAGTTATAAGTTTACAGTACACATTTGAAATTATCATAAAAATATGCTTATAGGTTTTCTTATACACTAGAAAAGATAAAACAATCATAACTAGGGTGTGGCAAACCCTTTTAACCAGTTTTGGAATCACTGAAATTTGTAAAAATTCAAACTCAGAATGGCATGAAAACAGCTAATTGGACTTCCAAAAATTACCAATTTAAGAGGTAAGTGTTGGTTAAAACGGGCTGAAGAACCGAAGCCGAAAACCAAAATCCAAAACGTATGCCTAACTGTAACCTAACTTAAAGGCAAACCTAATCCAAACTTTAAAATAATTTAAATCCCAATGTTAATTTTTACTGTGCCGTAATTGCAACTGTTCCATCGTTCCAGCGCATAAAAAAAAATAGGCGTTTTTTTTTTGGACTTCCATTTAACCTGTTATTTTAACGAAAAACATTATTACCAAGCAGTGTTAAACAGAAATCATGGTTTCGAGTAGGAAAAACATTTTTCATATTTTAACTCGAATTAAAATTTGTTCTCGTAAACTCAGTAACATGCATTGTAAAAACATTTATTTTAAAGAAGTGATATTTTTCAAAAGGGCTGTAGCAGCTCCCGCGCTAAGTCGCCAAGTACAGAATAGACAGCACACCCTGGCCCTTCCAAACTGGGGGCATTATTACAGTAACCAAACTTAATTACGAGAGAGAATACCTAATCTCTATTCTCTTTAAAAAAAATACACTGTTGCAAATATCGGGCCAATATTAGATCAGCTCTTTCACTCTACTGTCCAATCAGAAGTAAGCCCAACATAAACCGTAGCCCGCTGATATATATACTGTGTTCCTTTCTATTGCTGCCCATCTTGAATGTATAGGCCACTACACAAAGGAAACGCCTATTCAATCCGTAGTTTAAACACAGATAGTAACAGTAACAATTCGAGTAGTACTTACATGACACGAACATTATAATACATACAGAGCGTTATGTGCTAAGACTTTGGACACAAACCCAAATATAATAAAAACTGCATCTTTTTATCCAAGAGATGGCGGTATCTTGACAAAGATTCATACCAACTGTATATATATGAATAAAGCTCAAACGTGATAGGATAGTATTTGGAATTTTTCACATTTGCAGAAAAGTATTCGAAATAAAAATTACATTCGCCACTTTTCACACATGTGGAAATGAACCGGTCAATGCACGGTTAATTTAAATGGCAAGTCTTCTCATAACATTGATTTTCTTAATCCATAGATTCTTGTAAGTTTGGCTGCATTGAATAGATCACACTAACTGCACAGAGATAGAGAATTTGGAATGACCATAGAAATCAGAATTATTCCTTACTGCACCATCTATAATGGACTGTTCCACCAAATATTTTTCTTTTGCGAATAAATAATTCGGTAAATGACAGTAGAAAATATTTTGGCATGAGTGTGCGTTTAAAATATATTAATTTGAACGTCCATAATATTCTGGAACACAATTGGATTATAGGATTGCCCTACTTCAGTGTTTTATTGCATTGTCCAGAGACAATCTGTCAATTTGTTTGTTTATAGTTTATTTAATGACGGTTTCTCAATAGCTCAGTAGCGTCGAATGAGAGGATGATAGTGAATGGTGAAATGAAAAGAATGTGGCACATACATGTATGAAAATGACTTATTGATGTTTTCGGAATTTTATTACGAGTGATTTAATTTCCATGTCGCAGATGCTGCGAGATGTATTTTAAACTGGCATATAAAATCGTGTATCTGGCAACATACATGCATCCTACACACATTACATACATAAGTGTTTTGCTCATGGAATGTGTACATTCAGACTCGAAGGCGGTAGTCTTTTCAAGCGTAGATATTTATAGTCTATTTAATATCAACAGCGGGTTATAATCTCGTCCATGTTGCGACAGAAAATTTTCTAATGGTATAACACTTAATTTAAATACAAATATTTCAGTCAACTGATATTATTTTACTGTTGAGTCTATTTTAAATGGGAATTTGTATAAAATGTTATTACTCTTAGTAAGATGGCTGCCTCATACTCTTAATTATTTTCTCTATGGAAACAATTTGTACGACATCTAGCGGAAGTACATACAAATGAATTATAAAAAGAACAACTTCGATCGGCGTAGCAGTAATGTAGTAGTTGACGACAGAGCTGATAGTGTAGTTGTCGTATCAGCTGGTCAGTGGGTTTTGATTATGTGTGATTCTTTCGCGTATGTGCAGTGTCAGTGAATAGTGATTTGAGTTCATTGTGATTGTATATTTGACTGGAATATTTCGAAAATGTTTTCTGGACTTACAAATCAAGTGAGTTCCTGGATGGGTGGTACTGGTAAAAAAGAAGGAGAACCTTCTAAGTCTGAAGACGAGAAACTGTCTTCTCCCGTTACAGAAACTGATACTGGTAACAACACAGAAAGCGAAAAGAAAGATGCAAGGTAAGCAGTTGTGTGCAAGTTTGTGAATATGTATTTTGGCAGAATGGCTAAGACTTTGTACACAGTTTAATAATATCGCTGCACCTCAGCAACGCGCAATCTGAGTAACTAAACTCCTGTCAGGTTAGTTGAATCATAAAGTCTCATGGACAACGAAACTTATTAGTAACGTAATAAAGAATCGAACTTGCATGCTTAAACAGTGTGTGTCTGTGTCAGTGTTAGGGTGTGCCTGTGGTATGATGTTTAAAATTTGGCCAGGGATTGTTACCAAGATCACTTAATTTTCGTCCTTTTAAGTTCACTGTGCATAATCCTATCATTTCATGCTCAGCTACAGCAATAGGAGGTCTAAGTTGTATTTGTTTTCTAGCGAGCTGTGGTACATGTACAAAAAACCGGGCCTCTTGTTTTGTTGCACAACAATGGGAACCAAGGGTTTCCATTATCATTTGCAGAACAATGACCCTCTTAATGCAGGTTGCCAACTGCTGTAGTACACTGTGATAGACAGATATGGATGGACTTAAATAGTGTTCTTCACCCATGCTAGAGCAAGAACACCTGCAAATTTATTTCTTGCCTAAAAGAAAATGTGTGTCCATTACAAAGATCAGCCGGTTAATGCTGTTTAAGAAGTGAGTGCTGTTTCTTCTGAGCATCATATTAAACTCATAAATATTGAAATAGGTGGCATATATATTTACCCCTATTGTTTAAGGGGTTAAACTGACTCAAGTTATGTTGAAATGGCAGACATTTCCCTTTTGGTTCAATGAAAGCATGCGTTTTCTTACTCAGCTGAGTAACTTAAACTTTATAAGGACAACTCTGTTCCAAAGAATAAATTAGTAATTTTGTTAGTATGTAGTTATGATGTAATAATAATCAAAATTTCATATTATTTACTTAAGAAATGCTATATCAGGTACTCCATTCTGAAATTATAATAGTGATTAGAACTCTGTTCATTTTTATAGAACTTTGTTGTTTATACTTGAAGGAGGGAAATGACACCTCTTAATTAATAATTATAAGTGAGCAGGAGAATGAAGTGCATAGGGCATATAGCATGCGTGGTGAGAGATGTCTAATGCATACAGTATTTTATTTGGAAAACTTGAAGGGAAGGGGCAACTTTGAAGACCTGATCATGCGATGGATTATACTCTTACAATTAATCTTAAAGCTGCAGTATCAGAGGGTGTGGACTTGATTCATCTAGCTCAGAATAGGGACCACTGGTAGGCTGTCATGAACATTGTAATGAACTGTTGGACCTATAAGAGGCAGGGAATTTTGTGTCTAGCTGAGCAGCCATTAGCTTCTCAAGATGGATTCTGATCCATGGAGATAGTTACTTAATTTAGTGAGAAAATATGTTTTATTTAACAAGTAATTTTTGAAGTTAATGAAAAATCCTAATATTCATTACATTATACATGAGCATCTTTTCCTTTCCTTTCCTTCTCTTCCCCCTCCCCCTTCCCAGTAGTTGCTTGATCTTCACCTGGTACCTTTTAACAGATCCTCCTTGTTACCTTATTCTGTGGCTGTGTCTGGTTGTGACTGTTGTCTATTGCTTACAGCCCGACAAAAGGCAGCAAGCTGGAAATGCTATCCAGTGTGAAAAGTCAAATGACTGGCTGGTTGAGTATGGGTGTACCAGGTCTGCGTAAAGGTGATGAGTCAGCAGCTGAAAACCAAGACCCTTCTGCAGCTGGGGAAGGGAAGCCTGAAGCGGAGTCACCTGCCTCAGAAAAATCAGTGAAAGGTTCCCCTGTAGAACAGAAAGAAGATGATGATTCAAGGTGAGTGTGTTACATGATATCATTAATTGCTGGGCTGCAGAGAACGCAGAGGTCATGTCAACATAATGCCTGTGTGGTACTCTTAAATAGAAACTACTGTTGTTTTGATGTTTGGCCATATAGTGTTGGTCCCCCCTCCCCCATTGACTTGTGACTGATCTCTGTTGTAAATTTTATTACTTTGGTTGTTTTTATTTAGCTTACATTTTTGGTATTTTGAAAATTACTTTTTCCTGATGCTTGATTACTTTTGTAAATCTTCTAATTAATCATACATTCCTTTGTTTTTGTGTCTGTTGGTGGGGCAGTGCCACAGGTGGTGCAGATAGTGATGTTGCGGCCTCTGAACCTGGCACCCCAACTGAGGACAAGGAGGGTGGTCAGGCCTTTGGAGGAGGTGAATCTTTCATTTTTCAGTGTACCAGACATCCTGTTATTTCATGTCTCTGTCTGTCTACCCTAATGATGATTGAATCAATATACATATTCTTATGAAAGCATTGTGCCACCCATCGTTTTTACTTTACCATCATTAATACCAACATGTCAGAGTGATACTAGCATCACTTAATTAGGGTTCTGAAGTTTTGTGTGGTAATGGATTTTCAATATATATGAACCATTTGTAAATGTTAGCTTTTTTTTATATATATATCAAATGGAAACATTGTTGCCACGTGAATTCTAAATTTATACTTTGACAGTAATTAATGAAATGTTGGATCTAGGCATATCTTATTTTGTATGGTAATAGATATTTAATATACCTACATGTACTGTATGAAATGGATTTGTGAAGGTTGACCATTATAAACTTTACATCATAACTAAACTTTGACATTGTATATGACAAATTTAGTAGTGTCAGAATTCTGTAAGTGGTGTATTGTTAAGTTATAGATATTGTCACTATATAGATTGAAACACTTAGCTTCTCTTAATTTCTTGTTCTTATTTTTTCCGTACAAATGAGGGATATTTTCTTATAGTTTTAAAGAGCGGTGCATTTAAACGAGTTGTTTTTATGGAACCGACACTTTCTCACTTACTGTTATCTGATAATATCAGAAATGGAGGAACTGCAGTATATCTGGGGCATGAGGTAGGTTTGCTTTGTTTGTTTATATAGTATTAGTCTTCACACTACTAGTGTGGTATGTTCCTTTGCAGCGGTGTCTACAAAAGCCTTACAGGGAGCAAAGTCCATAGGCAGCTTCCTATTTTCTGCAGTAAACAAGGCTGGGAAGACTGTCAGTGAAGCAAGTGCTAAAATCAAAAAGACTGTTGAGGAGAATGTAAGTACTCACAGTTTACTTGCTTTCTAGTGCCCTACTTTGGAAGTGATGTTCTAGGAGGTTTCATTAACCCTAGAAGGGCCAATGGTAACAATATTACCACGTGCTCTAACACTCAGTAACTCTGCATCTTATCCATAAAGTATATGATTCTCAGAGTAAACAGCAATTGTATTCTCTAACAATTAACTGGTTGATCTTTATACTGGAGATATGTTGTGTTTTCTTTGAGGTATGAACTAAATTTTTAAATGTCATTTAGTTAAACTTCAGCTTTACATGGTTAATGTTCTCAGAGGCCAGATCATTTTGATCAAATATTAGCTGGTTTAAAATGGGAAACAGTTTCTGTTTACTGTGGCAAAGAAAAGGAGTTTTATTCTTCCTCTTTCCACTCTGAATGGATTAGGTTTGGAGAAAATTAAGATGTAAAATATATGGCTCATTTTGTAAAGTATGTGAGACTCAAAGAATTGAATTTGTAGCTGAGTTGAAAAGAACAAAAAATACATCAAATTTGTTATCACAAAATGTTATGGAAGGTCTCTATGTGGGATCCTGATAAGGGATGTGAGAATAATGCTAAAATGAATCTTAGGGGAATAGGCCATGGGGATGGAAAGTGTGTGGAACTGGCCCACAGTAGTTTTCATTGACCCTCGTTGATATTAGTGGTACTGCAGCTTCAGGTTGTGTTACTTGTGGGAGTTTATTTATGTAGGCCTTTATGACTTCAGAGGAAATTGCTAATCTGAACATTGAATGTACAAAAGTTAACAGTCCTCAGGATTTAGTAAATCCCATGATATATAATTTAATGATTGTACATAGTCAGTGTTGATGATGGTAAAATTTACCATGTTTCTATGCAGTGTATGCAGACTTTAAGGAGCCTTCTTCTATTTGTGTATTTTCTGAGCAGGGTGTATTATATATAAGGGGCAAGGGTTAGTTGGTGATCATTTGCTGCTGAGAGATTTTGGGCCTAATAGGATACTATTTGTGACTATATATGTTTACTACTATATATTCCCCCGCCATTCTTGATTGGTAGTTTTCTAGTAATGTACGTTGTTAAAAAACCAAGAATAATTTGTTTCATCGGTTTTGATTTGGAGGGCCACATTCCTTTCACAGATCATAACAAATAAAACCAGCTTTAGCGTGGAAAGGGCTGAGAATTAATGTGGACCCCAAACCAATGTGTGTATGGTTGCCATTGTAATTTTTCTCCTTATTTAAAACACCTGGAACTTACAGATAAGAAGATATTGTAGAGTGTGATTTTTTCAAGCACACTGAAAGCTGTAGTTGATATCAAAGGTAGTGAAATCCATTAATGTTAATGAAAAGTGTGACTTCCATAATCAACTTATTGAACGCTTCTAAAGGAGTGGGTGAAAATGGGAACTAATGAAACCCATTTCCTGCCGTGTCACAAAATTAAACTTCTGCAATCGGTCTTTGTCGACTGGGGTTCGATCCCTGACAGGGGCAGAGGATTTTTCCTCTAGCCTCTGCATCCAGACCGGCTCTGGGGCCCACCCAGCCTCCTGTCCAATGGGTACCGGGGTCCTTTCCCGGGGGTAAAGCGTGGCAGGGGTGTGATGCTGACCACTCACCCCATCTAGTGCCGAGGTCAAGAAAGAGAGGAGCTATACCTCCACTCCCTCAAAGCGCCTGCAAAGGCGTGTAGCAATACGTTAAAAAAGTCAGTCTTTGTTCATTGCTTTTGTCGATGGGCAAATATTTGTCAAGACCCTGAATCTGCGCAGATGCCTGTTTGTCATCTGCCATCGATATTATTGATAGTGATAGACATGCATGAATGTGCTCGCTTGTATGTTCGCGTATTATACAAAGATTTCTACAGGAAGTCCTCGAAAATGTTTTATGATGAAAAAATGCTTCTCGGACAGTTTGACGATAACTTTTGAATTTTCGTCAACATTACACTGAATTTATGAGATGGTAAAAATACTTGTGTCACTAGATTTAGATCTCTCAGTGTTTGTGTTTTCGCAGAAAATCGTGCAACCTTTGTAACTTCGAGGACATAGTGTTGTGCAATCTGAAATGACTCGATTGTCGAACGAGTTCACAACCGCATGCTTTTTAGGTACCCGAAGGATTATGGTAAACTGATTAATGAATAGAAACAACATTTGGATCTAACAAAGAATAAATACACTGTGATGAAAATTACATGATGAGGAGCTTGATAATTTATACTTCTTATTTGACAAAAGTTTATTGGTCTGATTAAATGGCGGGTTGAGATGGGGAGGACATGTAGCACGCGTTAGTTAAATCAGAAAGGCATACAATATTCTGGTCGGAAAATTCGTAAGAAAAGAGACCACATGCGAGACCCAGTCATATATTTACTCGATGATATTGAATTGGTTGTTGGACAAACGGGGTATATCTGGCTCCAATAGGGTCTCATTGTGTACTTTTGCGAGTAATGCATCATCGGTGAATTTTTTTCCTGTCAGCTTTTCCAGGTGTTGGATGTGTCGGTGCGACTGGTACCGCTCCACCGATAGAACATTTTGCTTTTACTAGATACTGTAGGCGGGATTCATCCGGCGGCCAGTGCACGGCCGTTGTTATGGAGGGAACGTCATTACATTACTCACCATTCTGGGAGAAACTAAAATGGGATATTTGAATTCGTGTTGCAGGAGACTTGTGGTCTATTCTTAATGCTGGGCGAACTTAAGATAAAATGTTGGATACTTTTAATAATATAATTGGAAGTTCATCTTTCTTCGCGCTGTTTCTGTGCGGGAGAACTTGAATTCCTTTCTTGCAGTGGATGCTGCATTCAGCCTGTCGTAGCTAATAGGAGCGAGTCGCTGCCTCTAGTGGTGGCTGGGCCCCTGATCGATACTCTCGTAACAGGGCTGTCCAAACAGTGCATTCCGACCGTGTTGTGAGCAAAGTAATAATGACTTATGTCAGGGTGGTCCAACATTTTTCTTCCCTCGGGCCAAGAATAAGTTTTCCTAATTGACCCAAGGCCGAAGAATACCTCATGGCGCTGTTTTTTTTAATAAATACGAATTTTCCGAGTCTCTAACAATACTTACTCAGAAATGACAAATTACCATAGTACATACTCAGGTAGCCGGCGTAGCTCAGTCGGTATAGTCACTGGACGACCGGGGTTCGATCCCCAACGGGAGCAGAGGATTTTTCCTCTAGCCGCTGCGTCCAGACCTGTTCTCGGACCCACCCAGCCTCTATCCAATGGGTACCGGAGTCTTTTCCCGGGGGTAAAGTGCGGCCGGGACGTGATGCTGACCACTCACCCCCAGGTCAAGAATGAGTAGGAGCTTTACCTCCTCTCCCCCCCAAGCGCCTACGTGGTGTATAGTGGAACAGCTTTACTTTTTATACTCAGATTTTATTGAAACGTGCACAAATTGCTGCAGAGTTATATATTATTTTAAATTTACTCGTGCAATAGCTTGTTTCTTACGATGTTTCTTTTTCCTTCCATCATCGGCCCTGATGATGGAGGCAGCACTTTCCTCTAAGATAGTACATGGCACACCAGTATAGTAGATCATCGGTGTGATATTGGAGAAATGTTTTGATTCGACGCGTTCCGAGTTTGTATGAAACAGAATAGCTACGGGCACTCGCTCGTACAGCGCGGAAGTGATTGAATGGGGAATTTCTCGACCGTTCAGGAAGGTCAGGAGTAAAATTCAGGCGAATGCGTCGTTATTGCTTATCTTGCGTATTTTAATGTCTATTTATCGTATTCTCAGCCTGTGCTTGTAACTGATTGCTGTTTGACAACTTCTGAACTAGGGACTTCTTCTGGAAATGAGCAAAAATAATCTCTCCGCTTATACCTTAATAGTTTCCTTCTGCAAATAAAATGGCTTGAAGGAGCTGCAAGTCAACAGTTGTACAATTTGGTGACACATATGACTACTGTATCCGTCTCCCTGAAATGAGTCACCAGTAAAATTACAAATTGTCTGTGTCGCATTTTGTAATTCTTCTTGTAGGTACGTCGTCATGCCAAGTTTTAATCTGAATGTCATGAAGAGAATGTTCGCCTTTAACGAAGCTTCTTCAGGTTTTATTCTGGCTTCCTGTAAGCGCACTAAATGGATTCGAATGCTAACCACTGCTACTTAATGTTTTTTGGAGCAGAATGTATTGTAAAGCAGGGAGGGGATTATTTTAAAACAATAAATGTAGGTAGAAATTTTACGTGGAATTTAGTGTTTGTTAGGCGACGATGGTGATGTGTGCTGTGATAACACAGAGCACATCTGGAAACTGCGTTCTCAGGAGCAAGGGTTATGTTCTTACATGAAATTTCTGCCTGCGCCTTTGGTTGTTCCTTCGTCCGCTGTGTGGTACTTACGCAGGATATGAAGACTAAAGTGTCGTCACGTCGTTCTTGTTGCCTAGCAACGCATTTTCCTTCGTGTCTTGTGGCTTCATATTTTTAATTTAACTTAATATAATCAAAATGTAAATCCTCGTTCTGTGCAGATGCTGCAGTGGTCTCCAAACCCTGGGAAGTTCAGCAGTCCTTCGTAAAATAGCCTTGTGAAAGGTTAAAACTACGTTATGTAGGATTTGAGGATTTTTCAGGGGTGAGTCTGGAGATTGCAATCTTCTGGGTTATTGCGCCGTGTAGTCTGGTAGAAGTTTACCGACGTTTCAGATGAATGCTCGTATCGTCTCGTGTCAAAGAAACATATTAATATTAGTGTAACCACTTGTGTTTGATTTTGTTTTCTGATGCTCGGGTCTGTGTTCGCATAACAGCGAGTTCTTGCTGTCCGAGCCCGTTTACACCGATACCCATTATCGGCATACTCTTACTATACAATTCATATTTCCATATCCGTAATTATTATGGTTATATCTTACTAGCCCCGTCCTTATCAATTCTATTCCCCATTTACACGTAATTTTGAATAGGTATTGCCCGATGTTCTGATCAGTTGCATTTTGCACAGTTT